AGTTTCTTAGCGAGCGGAACGTTCTTTTTAGGCTGCGAAGCCACCGAACGAGCTACGATTTCGCAAGTAATAAATTCTAGGCAGTCTTAGCTTTTTGACTGTAAATCAACAGAAACAAGAATACAACACCAGCAAGTCGCCCGGCTGGGCCACCTAGACAATATTTTCAGTCGCCCGAGGCCAAGTCTTGCGACGATAGATCTAGAGCACAGCCTTGAGTCTTCGTCCTCCTCTACGCTGTAATCTTACTTTTCCCTTCTTTGCTGACGCAGTATCTTTTTTCTGCTTGTGCAATCAACCTGACTTGCACGTGATTTGAAGTTGCAGCCAATAAAAATCACACAATTTTTCGGGACGGGCACGGGATACGGGAAAGTTAAAAAAGCAAGGGAATTTTTGACTCCCGAGACGACAAAAAGAATACGCTCCCGAATTTAAGACGCTGGCTGACTACGTCATCCCGCGTAAAAATGCCGGCAACAGCAGAATTTCGACTTAGACCCCAAAGAGGGGGGGCACTATAACCACGTGACATTTACTCCGATCGCCAAACATTTGACGCTATATTGTAGATTGATCTATATGTTATCCATGCTATAAGTTTCAAAGTAGGATGGTACCCTCACAAAATAACTGGGTCGAGTCACCTTAACGATCAACATTCTATGTCCCGTCAAAAGTTACAGTAAATTGTATGGAGCAGTACCCCGATTTCACGATATTCCATTCAACGATATTCCCGGTTTTACGATGGAAATCTATCGACCCAAGCATAAAACTTTTTCCGTTACAACGATATAATTGATATCACATACCGTAAAAGAGTGACAATTACACAGCGTTTTATTTAGTTACAGTAATCCTTTGTCCCGTAGGGCACAAGACTAACGTTTTGTGCTGAAACGTATACGTCGCGGAGATTTCTAGGCCAATGCCTTTCTTGCTTCGTTTTCCAACAACTGTGGCGGAAATCCTCCCTCCATTCTTCAAGAATAGAAACCCGATTTTACGATATTTTTAGTTGCTTCGCAGTCATATCGTTAAATCGTGAGTTCTTTTACAACGGTATCCCGATGTAACGATATTATTTTGCTTTCCCCTTGCGATATCGTAAAACCGGGGTTACCATTACATAACGCTACACCACGCACCTGGACATCAGAAAAGTACTGTGGCCAGTAGAGTTGAAATGTTGGGCCACAGGAAACCTAGGAGTGTTGTTGTGCATAAGCTCGTATACTTCGCAAATGTTCGCTGGAACAACTCCTTTGGTTTCGTCCAGTCTCACCATTGCAAAGAAGTGCGCAGGATATGCAATAGACAAGATTCTCGGACTGGCAGGTGAAATGGGCACGGATGGTAAAGGAAGATTCGAGGCCTCGTATCTCAGCGACGGAACTTATGTGACCGAAGGAGTTGCTTCGAGGGCGCTGACACGCGCCGGAACCAGGCTGCTCGATAGAAGGGTGATCCGTTGAATGGACCAACATGGTCGCGCTTGTATGCTACAAAAGGTGGTTGTGGAAAAACCCATCGAGTTTGCTCGTCTGTTGATACAATGCGAAAGTTCTGCAGTAGGAACCGTTGGATTTTGGTGTTAAACAGTTGAGAACCAGAGGCACCCTATCAACGGTTGTATCACTCTGTTCGGACGGGCGCAGCGCGTCAAGGTGGCTAATGGTTGCTACTCTTTGTAGATCGTTTTCAAGAGAGGAAAAGTAATAAGTCAGTCGCGGTCAGTAAAGAAAGAAACCATCTCCTTTGATAGCAGACACGGTTTTAAACTCACACTGACGATGGGTAATAAACCCGAAACGTTTGTGTTTTCTTTAAAACATTTGACAATTTAGGATATTTCTTTATCGAATATTGCCTCGTCAGCTTTTAAGTAGAAGTGTCACGCGTCCCTGACAGTTTTTCCGTTCAACATTCATGTCTTTTATTTGTTGGTTTCAGATCTAGAGATTCCACTCTAGATCACACAAGACGTCAAATTGTCGTAAGAACATGAGCAACACTCTTTCCGACGGCTTGTGCGCCACTTTTTTGTCCTTACCGCATTTTGACGTCATCTGTGACCCTCAAAGAGTCAAGCAATAATATGCAGATTTAGCCAGGGCTAAAAGCGAAGCTCACATTAATAAATTTATAATTTAAATCAAACACATTATGGAACATTCATGTGCCTTTTGAGGGAAGGGCTAAGTGATCTTACAGGAAAAAAAATTTGCAAACAGTCCAAGAGTGAAACAAATCTTACACTGAGTTAATAGCCTTATACGTACACCCAAAAAATAGCAATCATCTTCGAAGAGTCAGGAGCCACAATGGCTCTTTAATTTGTCACAGTAGATTAGGCCTGGAAAACAAATTAATCCCAAACAAAATAACCCAGTCGCCCACCTACACCACCTTTATTTTATAAGGTTAATTGGACAGCTCCGAAATTCAATTTTATGCTTTATGTTATAAGGCTCGATAGTTCTCGCAGGCAGTCAATTTACACGTTTTACATGTAATTTATAAGTCGCATACCTTTGTTTAAAAGGGAGGCCAAAATAAAAAAATCAGGCCGAATGTTTTTCGTTGGACAAGTTTACTTTACGAAATCTTGCCAACAACTCTGGTGACGTGTAAGCCAGCCTTTTATACTTTTCAGTTTATACATCACATTAATGAGTCCCTAAGGGTCAGTGACATAAAAGGGGGAGAGCCACAGGAAATATTTGCATGCCGAGGAGAGGGGCATGGACAACTGAGGGTAACCATGATTACTCCTCCCCCCACCCCTGCAAGGCTTGTGAAGCTAAAGAAGGAAGAACACAGATTCTCCATTCATCCATTTATTATCTTATTTAATCATATTGTATTAATCACTATAATTTGGCAAAATTTGGGTGGCAGGGAAGGCAGAGCCTATACCCCCTAGGATAGCGGTGTCCCTAGGAGGACCCCCTAGAGTAGCGGTGTCTCTAGAGGCAACCCTACATTAGAGTGTAACATAGGGTGGACCAGAAGAGGGGTGCCCTTCTGGAAGGAGAATAGGTCAGATGGTGAGTTGTACCATCTTGGAGTAAGCAATCCGGACCTATTGCCAAGGAGGGCTATCCCACATACTGTGGGGTAAAGTGCAGCCCAGGGTGCACTTCCCTGTCACCAATAAGTAAGTAAGAAATGTAAAATGTAGAAACACATAGGATGTAGTTTTTTATATCGAGCTATATAGTTGTACCATCTTGGAGTAAGCAATCCGGACCTATTGCCAAGGAGGGCTATCCCACATACATATATATACACATACACATACACATACATATATATACATACACATACACATACACATACATATATATACATACACATACACATACATATATATATATATAAACAGTGGAAACATAATGAGTAGTATAATGTAACAAACTATGAGATACAGCTGTAAGATAACCAAACTAGAACAGAATACAATGAAAAAGTATAACGTAAAAATTTGCAGGACAAAGAACAGCCATAACGATTAGAGAAGACAAAGCTTCCAGTCGGGTGGGAGGGTGGGAAAAATACAATCTTAAAGAGTGCGAGTAGGCACTTGCTCGAAGAACAAAGCTGAAATGTGGCTGACCAATGGTATGAGGGGTTTACATAAGGCGAGACAGGTGAGAATCATGTGATATTGTGGAAAATTACTGGAAGCTTTGGCAACCACTTTGACATTGTAAAAGTAAAAGTACTTTGAGCTAAACAGTAAGCTATTGACTACTGCACAAGCCTTGATTGCAGGGGTGAGGAGAGTAGAGTATACTAGGGACAAGTAAGGAAAGAAGTAGTACTCCCTTAGGGCTCATTAACCCCAGTTAAGAATAAACTTATAATTAATGAGTCCCTAAGGGTCAGTGACATAAAAGGGGGAGAGCCGCAGGAAATATTTGCATGCCGAGGAGAGGGGCATGGACAACTGAGGGTAACCATGATTACTCCTCCCCCCACCCCTGCAAGGCTTGTGAAGCTAAAGAAGGAAGAACACAGATTCTCCATTCATCTATTTATTTTCTTATTTAATTATATTGTATGAATCACTATAATTTGGCAAAATTTGGGTGGCAGGGAAGGCAGAGCCTATACCCCCTAGAGTAGCGGTGTCTCTAGAGGCAACCCTACATTAGAGTGTAACATAGGGTGGACCAGAAGAGGGGTGCCCTTCTGGAAGGAGAATAGGTCAGATGGTGAGTTGTACCATCTTGGAGAAAGCAATCCGGACCTATTGCCAAGGAGGGCTATCCCACGTACTGTGGGGTAAAGTGCAGCCCAGGGTGCACTTCCCTGCCACGATTGTGTGAGCCCAAGATATTCTGGTCAAGAATGGGGGAACACAATCACCCCACAGTAAATTATGTGGATGTTGGCTGGGATACCAACTGCCACATGGGGAAGAAATAATATCCAATATTGGCATGGACAACCCTCAGGGGGATCAAAAACCGTTTCACCTTATTTGGTTTGCACAGGTATTTTAAAATGGAGGTCTAGGATAAGGAGAAAAAGCCAAAAGCCTTACTGATTAAAATACTAAGAAACATATTTAGGAGTACATAGTAATCATAATAATAGTCATCAGGTAGACAACAAAGAACGGTCTAACCTACAACTATTACTGGAGTTCATTGACAGTTGTTTAGGGATGGCTAGCAGTGTTTCTTGAGGAGTTCTTATGTAACGTTCATAACAGTCATAAGACCAGCGGCCCAATACCTTGATTAACCAGGCAGGAATCCCTGCCGCAGCTGCAGTAGTCGCGGCGCCAATACGGAAGCTATGTGAGAAATAGTGTTGAGGTTGTATGCCGCATTGCTGCAGGACGTCACGGAGTTCATGAGTAAGAGAAGTTCGGGTGAGCCACTTGCCACTAGTTAAGGTGAACAGGGGGCCTGTTGATGATGGTTGGCATTGTAACACATAGTCTTTCATAACCATAACAGCACAGATGGAGGTAGTGGACCTTGCTAGGTTAGGGTGCAACCATTGCGGAAGGGACCTGTTTTGAACCGTTTAATCAGTACTAACATGTAATTGGGAGATTCAATGTTAGGGACAAAGGTGACATCCTTGAGGCAAAGGTGAGTTGCTGGGTCAAAGACTTTGTCATTGCAGGTAAATTCGCTTGAACGTAAAAAACCGAAAAAGGCTAAGGTGAAGGCTGCCCAGAGCATAATGTGATTGAGGTCACAACTCAAGTGCGGCTGGTAAGAGTTGAAAATAGACTGCAGGATTTGGATTGTAATTGGGTAACGATCTAATTTGACCGGGGTTTGGGAACGTTTGATCCCGTTAAGGACCTTCTGGAGTCTAAACATTTTTGGGAGTTTTAAGGGGAAATTGTATTGCCTATGGAGGTCTTGAACGGCAAACAGGTATAGCTTAATGGTATTGTAGGAAACGGTTTTGGCTAAATGGGAGACAAAATAAATCAGGGTAATTTCAGATGCGGGGAGAAGGGGCGTAGAGGGGCTAATTAACCCTTGCATAAGGCAGAAGGAAATGAAATGGTTTTGACCGACACTATAAGAACGTTTGGTGGCTGGGGCAAGGGACGCACCAAAGTAGCGATAAACAGAAGCTGTTAAATTGATGTCCCTGATGGAGGGATGACGCAGGGGGAGGGTGAGGCGTTGGGAGCCAGGTGACGGAAGCGGTCCATCTGAAAACGGGACAAAGAATCAGCTATTGAATTATCTAGCCCAGGGATATGTCTAGCAGTAAAGGAAAAGTTGTGTTCTAAGGTAAGGATTGTAATAGCTCGTACGAGGTCCATGATCCTAGGGGACTTATAGCGTTTGGAGTTGATGATGGAGACAACTGGCAAGTTGTCGCACAACATACAAATATGTTTGCCTGACCAGGAAGGGTCCCAGAGGTAGCAGGCAATGTAAATTGCAAGCAATTCCGGCCAATCGATGCTGATACCCATGGTGGGGTTAAGTAGGTGTTGAGGGAGCCAGGTAGCCTGAAACCATTCCCCATTGAGATAGCCACCATACCCATGTGACCCAGAGGCGTCCTTAAATAATTGCAGGTCAGTCGAGGAGAGAACATTACCCCCTACGAAAAGGCTAACTCCATTCTAATGGTTAAGGAAGTTTAACAACATTGAAATGTCTTTGCGGAATTCCCCATTCAATTTAATGTGCCAGTGAGAGTTAGTGATGCCCTTTGTTAAACTAATTATTCTTTGCAGAAAAGCCCGGCCCGGGGAAACAACCCTGCAGGCAAATTGTAGGGTACCAATCAGGGACTGAAGTTCCTTCAAAGTGGCAGATTTACGGTGTAACCACTGTTGAAGGGCCTGTTTAGCACGGATTAGTTTGTCAAGGGGAAAACGAGCTTCCATTCTTGTGGAGTCAAGGAGAATACCCATAAATTCTAGCGGGGTGGTGGGAGCAAAAGTTTCACAGGGGGCAACAGGGATATTGAGTTCACTGAAAAGACAAAGGATTTTGCAAAGGGCTGTAAGGCAGTCCGACCTAGGGGGCCTGGTGACAAAGAAAAAATCATCCAGGATGTGGATCACGTGAGGGATACCTAGCTTATTTTTAATTATCCATTCAATCATGCAGGAAAATTGGTCAAAAAGATAGGGTGCCGATCGTAATCCAAAAGGGAGCACTGTATCGAAGAAATACAGGCCGTTCCATTTAATTTCATACCGAGGAGCTCCCAGTCGGATGGGTGTACTGGGATATTGCGGAAGGCTGACTTGATGTCCAGCTTGGACATAAAGCACCCTTAACCAATGTTCTGAATGATAGAGATGGCAGTATCTATTGTAATGTAGTGTAAGGAGTAGTCGGTTGGGCTAATGTGGGAATTAACGCCAGTGGTTTAATGTTTGGGAAAGGAAAGGTGAAAAATGGTTCTCCACTCTGTGGAGTGCTTTTTTGGAACAACCCCAATGGGATAAACCTGAAAATTGGGAAAAGGGGGAGAAACGAATGGGCCAGCAGTGTGACCAAGCTGTAACTCTTTCAGGAGATTGGTGCTGATGATATGTGGATTTTGCCTAGCAGAAATGAGGTTGGGGTTTTCCTTAGAAACCCGAGGACCCTGGAAACCAATTATAAAACCCTGGGAGAGGCCAGTGAGGACAGCATAAACAGATGGACGGTCAAGGTGATCATGCAAGTAAAGGGCAAGTTGGGGAAGGTCAATAGGGGTGATAGGGGACAGCTTAGAAAGGTATTCAATTGCGGCTTCGGGTGGAATGGCTTGAGCGGCTAGTCTTTGACTGTGTGGGTCCAGAGCTTGAGGAGTCAGGGTGGTCCTTTCCTGGGTGGGCTGCTGTGCATCCAGGCTTGTTGGTGAGTGTAAGGGCAGGGGGTGCGGGCGCAGGGAACCCCTTTGTTGAAGTTGAAGCAGAGGTCACCACGTTTGGGGCCTGAAGAGTCCGTAGACCTGGGGTAAAGGGAGCAGGAATCGGTTACATGATCCGAGCTGCTGCAGGCCTTACAAAGTATGGCTTTTGGAACGCCGGTAAAGGTGTCTGGGTACAACTGAACATCCCTTTGACCCCAGTTAATGGAAAGGTTGTGAGAGGCCCTTCGGCGAAATTTCATATCGTACAAATACTATGCCATACCGGGGAACTTACGAGCTGACTCACGTATCAGTTGCTGTAGGAGAAGAGGTCCACCCCCCGGGATGGGTAAGAGGAGAGGATTACAGACGAGTAAATGGCAAAGGCGTCGAGCCATCGGTCGATCACAGTAATTTTGGGGCGCTTAGCCTGGGATGGGAGGGGTATAGTAAGGCCCTCGTTTCCTACTTGTAGTTTAAGCTGGGAATTAGCGGTAACGTGGTCTCGTAGTAGAGACGAAAAAGGAAGAAGGCTAGCAAGGTCCACGTACTCACCGTTTGTTATGGCTGCGATGCAGCTGTTGAAGAGATGGCTGGCGATAGAAGGGACTCTGTAGTTGGTGTGCAGGAGGGCTGCGTCTTCCGGTGTTCCGAGATTCAAATCTTGCTGATAGGACGACAGCGAGAAATTCAGGGAGGACGGAATCTGTTGTTGTCCGCCATTGCGGACCGGTGGGAGAGAGGGATCTGGTGCGAGGCTCGTAACGCCTGGCAAATGTTGCTGAGCGGATTGTTGGGCGGATGGCTGAACGACGGAAGATGTTGAGCTCGATAGCGAGTTGCTCGCGGATTTTAAGGTTGCCAGTTTTTGCTCCACGATAGAAGCAATCATGGAGGCCAACTGCTGATCTGGCATGGTCACTGGGCTGGCATGGTCACTGCGTTGGCCGCTTTGAGATTTGCATTGTTTCGGCATGATACGTACACGGAGAGAAAAATACAATCTTAAAGAGCTGAAATGTGGCTGACCAATGGTATGAGGGGTTTACATAAGGCGAGACAGGTGAGAATCATGTGATATTGTGGAAAATTACTGGAAGCTTTGGCAACCACTTTAACATTGTAAAAGTAAAAGTACTTTGAGTTAAACAGTGAGCTATTGACTACTGCACAAGCCTTGATTGCAAGGGTGAGGAGAGTAGAGTATACTAGGGACAAGTGAGGAAAGAAGTAGTACTCCCTTAGGGCTCATTAACCCCAGTTAAGAATAAACTTATAATATGAGGTAAACAGTACCATGAGGCGCTGTTTGTTTAGTAAGCTTACATACCTCGGACATAATGCAGTTTTTCACAAATTCAAAAGACATTGCACTCATTCAATAGAATTGACCACATTACAAAACGTTTTCATGTAGAGAATTCCATAATGTCGGGACTGTTCAGTCAGAACAATCTGCTCCTATGTGGTATGCAGGGCAATAATGGGCTTTTAGCGAAAACGTTCAAAAAATTTTCCAAAATCACCTGTACGGCCAGCCGTTTCTTACTTTTGAAAAGGGCCAAATTTGCAGTGCGATCGGTCACTTGTTTGAACAACACGATAGAGAATTCATTGTTTTATTCTTTATTTAATGGCTTTATTACATTGTGTATGTGTAAAAGCGTTTGATACGCGCGGCATTTTGAGTGCTCATGCAAGCGATGTTCATGTACGTCTGAAAACAAACGGCACAGCGATTTTATATTGCAAAAGAGTCTACTAACAACAAGAGCCATAATATTATGATCTCTTGCTAATAATCAATAAAAGAAATATAATTCGGTGAAACATTTACAGAGACAACAATTTTCATTTACGCAGAAAACCATCGAGATTAAAGTGTCTTGCAAATTTATGTTCCCGGTGTTTGCTATTTTTCAAGATGAACTCGAGGCAAGAAAATTGCTCAAAGTGTTCTTTTTACAGCCAAAGTTGTACCTGGATATTCTTCGGAACGTTTTCTTTCTATTTGCGGACAGAAAAAAATTGTCTGAATTGTCGATAAAACCCGGAACACGAAACATTCCGGAACATGCCGGAACATTCCGGAACATCCCGGAACATGAAAAAATAAAAATAATTTTTATAAAAATAAATAAATAAAATACTAATAATAATAAAATAATTTTTATAAAAATTAATAATAACGTAAAATAACAAAAAACGGAAAGAGAAAGAAAAAAAGAAAAAGAAACTCGTATCATCTCCGGGTATGAGAAAACAATATTTTGTCGCAAAAAATTTGTTGGGCGAGGGTCCATGGAAATGACAGTAATGAGTGAAGGTTTGCTTCTAAATTCAAAATATATTAAAATGGGTCGCGAGGAGGGGGGTTTTCAAGCTTTACTCACACAGCTACCTCTTGTAAATGTTTGTCATGCGGTTTAAAGGTTATTCATTTACGGCTTTGCGACCGTAAGAATAGCTTAAGGGCTCGTCGCTTTGGACTTTAGTAGATAAGATTCACATTCGCCGTAAATCAGTTGCAGTGGCAGTGGTAGCGCAGCGGTAGTTTCTAACTGTTATCAGTTAGCCTGAGTCGAAGTTTGCGACTCGAGGAGATGGCTGAAATTCAAGCTAGATCACAACCCCCTATTTTCCTCCGCCAAGTTGAAGATTGCGATCGCCGCTGTCAAAGTGATTTGGGTATCCCCTGACGACTAAACTGGTGAGAGTGAAGTTGGTGCTAATTGGAATGGTTTGCTAACGTGTGTGTGTGGAACTACAACTTTTGTGGGAGGGGCTGTTGTGATTCCCGTGATCATGCAGATCCACACAGACTTCCTATGCCCATTTCAGACCCCAGACAGGACACTGACACGACGGAACAACCGAGATGATGATATATTTAGCAAGGTGGAACAAAAAAAACAAACAAACAAAGACGGACGGCTCCAGAGTTTCCTTTCTATTCACCTTTGACCCGGACACGTGACAAACGAATACTGTAATATTCAGTGAATTTAACTGAAAAATAGTGTTTTCAAAAATAACAAGTCGCATAAGCAAACCTTTAAGTGTCTTCGATAAATTAGGCTTTGCATCATGGCTCATACTCGGAGATGAGTTTCTTTTTCTTAATCATTTCTTTATTTTTCGTTTTTTTTTTTGTTATTTTATGTTGTTTTGTTATTATTAATTTTTACAAAAACTTATGTTATTATTATCATTTTATTTAATTAATTTTTTTTCATGAAAATTACTTCTATTTTTTCGTGTTCCGGGATGTTCCGGCATCTTCCGGAACGTTCCGGAATGTTCCATGTCCCGGGTTTTATCGCCGGCCTAATAGCTACCACATGACAATGCCGTCACTATTGTTTTCGCAATTTCTCTGTAATTGCAACCATGGTATGTATACTTTGGGTGCTAAGTTTCCGTTGTAGGTATGTGAAGTATCAGAAGAACTTGGAATTTCTCATTTCTCCATCATTAGTTTTACTGCGTGTGTAATTACAGACTCGTATCCAGTCGCTATTTAAGTGTTTTTTGGGATGAGAGAAGATTGGGGATTAGGTTGAGGCGCGCACGGGGTCTCATGAGAAGGGAAGAAGGAAAAATACCAGAAAAATACCAGAAAAGTGCCGTTATCTTTAAAAAAAGGACCTGCACGTCTCTAGCGAACGAAATCTGCCAGTCGCTATTTTTCCTTCTTCCCTTCCCATGACACCCCGCGCGCGCCTCCACCTAATCCCCAATATTCTCTCATCCCAAAAAACACTTAAGCAACTGGGTACGAGTCTGGTGTAATTAGTTGAAAGAACATTAAATATTCATCCAACATTTGTTGGGTCAGTTGCTGTCAGTTGACTGTATATCTGATAAAACATCGCGTACTAAGAAGGACGGAGTTTCATCGATATAAAGTCACTAGCTGCACGTAATCTGTTAGCAACCATTCAGCAGATCAATGGGCTTATGAATAATTAAAAGAATGACTTTTTGAATTGATTTTCATTTTATTTCAGCTAGGCATTTCGAAAATCTCCAAGATTTCACTTAACCAACAATAACATTTTGTTTCCAAGAATTCAGTCCAGTAGGAAAAGGAGGGAAAAAATAAAAACAATTGGAGGTGGAGGAAGAGGGAAAAAATAAATAAAAAATTGAGGAGGAGGGAGGTGGCAGGAAAACTTTTTTTCCAAGTAACAACGTTCTCATTTTCTCTTAAACTCCTTCGAAATCAGGTGGCCATCTCGCGAAATTCTAAAAGACAAAGCTCCACTCAACAACCTGCAAATCTTTTCATCCTGACCCCTTTTCCCAAAGTAGACATGACAGCACCGCCGAAACGTAAAAGGCGGAGAAATGACTTTGTAAATTACTTGCATGCTAATGATTCTCATGAAAATAGGACTGGCAACTAAATTGTCCCAAGAAGCTCATCGATTCGAGAGTCACATGCCATCTGACAGCCCCCAATTGCCATGCCTTAAATAAAGTATCAGAAATCGGCTGACTAGGTTTTCAGACAATTTAACGACGTTGGTAGGAACATGTAACATGATTTGCAGCAAATTTTTACCAGCAAAAAGAGTACCAACGACGTAGGAGAAATGGTAAAAAGATTTTGTGACACAGCTTCTTTAGCATTGTCACAATGCTCTCTCTGGTCTTTCAACGAAAATAACATTTGCAAGCTTGAAGTGGATTGATCCTAGAAATAACAAATCAGACGAACGTCTCCTTTATTCATCCTCAAAAGTATCAAAAAATTTATATCTGTAATTTATTATTATCATTACGAGGCATGTAATAATAAACAAGTTTCGAATTATTGAAATTCATTCTTGGCTCCAAGTGAATTATAAAACAAAAGAAATAGCGTTAAGATTCAGGGATGAATAACTTTTTTTTTGTTTTATTCTCCTCCACCACGGAGCCAAGGAAGAATTTTGATAATTTGAAGCTGCCCTATTGCTTACTTGGGTCTGAAGTGGAACTGTCTTCTTTGTCATCATTTCCTGAGAAGAAAAAACAACCGTAATGGTTAATAAGACGACTCCTCCGAACATAAATCTAACATAATCATAGTCATCGTTGCATTTGCCTGAGAGTATAGTTTGCCATACTTTGGTTACCAGTAGTGGTAACTACATATATGTACATTCTGTAGTCAATTTTGTTATGGCCATCATAACAATGTTATGAGTGAAGGATTTATATTAACCTAAGGACCTGCAAACACAATTTATTTATTTTGCTAGTACTCTGATCAGTACTATATCTTCTAGCAGAAATTAATAACTTTATTAAGAACCTTGTTACGGTTAATTGTTTTTCTCACTAACACTAAATCTACTCGTATACAGTTGTGAAATTGGTGATACCTTCCACCTGAACACAGTTTACAATAAAGCTGTTTTTTGTTTTAACTAAAAGGCCTCCTCATGTGCTGCTACTTTTTTCTGTCAATACTATACCTTAACAGCAAAATCCTGCTGGCAGAAATTTGCCATTTTAATACCAACAATACGTGAACCTCCTAAGTCAAGCAAGATCAAGCAGGTAATTCATATATGAGGGTTAACAGTTTTATTTAAGAAGTTTGACTCTGAGATTTCAATTTACATCACAAGAAATCACTGGACCACCAGTAGTGATGACTACATATATGTACATTCTGTAGTCAATTTTGTAGTACTCTGATCAGTACTATATCTTCTAGCAGAAATTAACAACTTTATTAAGAACCTTGTTAATACAAAACTATCAAAAAATTGATATCTGTAATTTATTATTATCATTAAGGGGCATGTAATAATAGGCAAGTTTCGAATTATTGAAATTCATTCTTGGCTCCAACTGAATTATAAAACTCAAAGAAATAGCATTAAGATTCAGGTATCTATAACTTTTTTGTTTTATTCCCCT